CACACACACACACACACACACCGTGTCACGCATACTTCTTTGCAGACTGGCTCAGCACACTGTTTAATAAACATCTGCTAAGTGCCAGGCAGATTTTTCAGCTTGGATGATTCAAAATTGTCTCAGCTTTTTCGTGATTTTCAGTCTGGTGAGCAGGGTGAAGGCCATATAAATAAAAGGGCAGCTTCACATGAGAAATGGAATGACCTTGGATATTTCTTCTTGGGCCACAATAGTAACAATAATGGATAGCATACTTCAGTAGTCTTGAAGTAATTTTTTTATTGAAGAAATGATAAATAGTCTGAATGGAGAAAAAAACTGTATGTGCCTTCTCTGTGTTGACTCTGTTCACCAGAGTGCAAAGACCAGGTGTTAAGAGGGCACATGGCTCTTTCAGTAACTCTCAGGGATCCCTATAGCAAGTCTTTTAATCCTTCCAAACCTTTTCTTCCTCAACCTTGCCTAATCTCCTGGGGTTCCCTGAGGTGTGTTTAGAATAATGTTCTACTATATATCCCATATACGTGTTGAGAAAAGCAGGATTCTCTTTACTATAAAGAAAGCGATAAGCATTGATGAGTACGAGCCTCATATTTTCTTTTTTTAAATGTTTATTTATTTTTGAGAGAGAGAGAGAGGCAGAATGAGAGCAGGGGAGGGCAGAGAGAGGAAGACACAAAATCTGAAGCAGGCTCTAGGCTCCCAGCTGATGGCACAGAGCCCAACGCAGGGCTTGAACTCACAAACCGCGAGATCATGACCTGAGCCGAAGTTGGACGCTTAACTGACTGAGCCACCCAGGTGCTGCTGAGCCTCATATTTTCAATTCCCTCTAAACATTTCCAGTGGGTTGTCCAATAGTCAACTCGAACAACATTTCCCAACATTGCCTTTTCAACCCTGATTCTCCTGTGTTCCTTATGGCAGTTCATGCTATTGGTGTCTACTTGTCACTCAGACTCAAAACTGCTGAGGCTTCCTAACTCCTTCCTCTCTCTTAATCCCCACATCTAATTGATGCCAGCGTTACGTGGACTTTATCTTCTAATGCTCCACTGTCCCTGCTTTCCTCACATGACGTACTGCCATTGACTGGTTCATGACCTTGCCATCCCTCACCTGAACTACCGTAACAGGCTCCTGGCTAGCTCCCTGTGTCTATCCATTTGTCACCCTGCCGTTAATAATCAGTATTTCAAAAACAAACCTCAACATAACACTCTTCATTCCAAACTCTTAAGCCTGGCATATAGGCATCTTCCTAATTTGGTCCCAAATAACCTTTTTGATGTCATTTCCTGTACTTCCCCTGAACCACTCTGAGCCACAGTGAATTTCTTTCTGTTCCCTAAATGAGTCCTTTGCTGCTTCTGCTGCTTGGAACTTTTTTCTCTACTTTCTCTATAGGAAAACTCCTACTTATCCTTTAGAAACCAAATCAAAGCAACTTCCAAGTTGCCTACAGGCAAACTTGGGCAAGTTCACTTCCTGAAACTTCCTCACTCCTCCTGGCCCAGTCACTGCCCCATTCCATAACACACCATGCGTTCACTTGACTTCTTCATTATTTGATTATGAATCACCCCCCTCTTCTCCTTTCACCCAAGATAGTATTGTGAACTCCTCTCGGGGAGACCCTTACCCCCCTCCGTAGCTTTGCAGCTGCAGCACACGATGTGTGCTTGGTGTCTGATCCGTGTTTTCTGGTGGGATAGATAAAATCATGCGTGAGCAACTTAAATTCGAACCTTTATCTGCAAACCCAAATACTAATACGGTACGTGAGTAGATTGTAGATCGCAAATATATAAAATCTATATAATCTATATATTATTATGTATCACAGAGTATGAGTTGAGGGGGCACAAGTCAACCCAGTATACAAGCCATCCTAAATTTTCCTGCATAGATTGACCTGCATTTAACAGCTGTATTTAGTAGCAGGGGCAGGTGGTGGGTGGAGATGGGTGTCTTGGAAACAGACCATATATAGCCTATCGCTCAAGGGCTGAGAGAGCTGGCAGGTGATAAATGACCCCTGTGAGCAATGTCAGTGATTTTTCTGCAGCGTTGGGAGATTAAGGGTCATTTGACTCTCTCTGTGCTGTTAGCATTTACTACAGTTTCTACATTGAGCATGTGTGACTTATTAAAAGGAGGCTGGTACCGTGGCAATTTCTTCCTCCCATCGACTGGCCCAGGCCCCAGGAGGAGGATGGGTGGCCGTGTCTGACCAGACCTCTTGACACTTGTGCACTGGGTTCTATATACAAGCTGGCCCCCGCTCACCTTTCTGTCCTGTCTCACGCACCCTGTGCTTCTGCCGCATTGATCTTTTTTTGTTACTTATTTATTTTATGTAGCAGACACTTCCAGATATCATATCATAGGCCAGACACTATTCTAAGCACTTTGAAATACCTACTCCTTTGATTCTCACAGCCGTTATTATTCTCATTTCACATGTGAAACGACTGAGCCCATTCTGGATTATGTTTTTCTTTGTGGGTGCTGTTTACTCCTTCCCTATCATGTATCAGAATTTCTCTTCCAGAATTGTCATTGAATTTAAGCCTCAGCTCCTGTGTCCCTGAGCATCTTTTTTATTACAAAAGATAATCTTTTGTAATAATTATTACAGCATTGTATAATAAATACCGTGTCTGTCTCTCCTACAGGCAAACTTGGGCAAGTCACGTAATTTTAGTTTCCTCCCTCCGTAAAATGTGTCTAGTAAGATTTACCGCACAGAGTAGCTGTGAGGATTAAATGGCACAGGGTTTGAGCTATCTGCTCAGGGAGTGAGCTTCGCTGATCTTGACTGTGTACTTCTTGACACAGTTGCTGACACAGGACAGGTGTTGTTTTGGAGGATGCTGAAGGGCAGGGAGAGAAGGAAAAACCAGGACGGCCCAAAGTCAAGGCTGCTCAGAGAGAAGAGAGTGTTGGCACTTGCAAATGCCTTACGAAGGGCTGAGTGGATGGCAGTTGAGCACGGACTGTTGGGTTTGGTGATGTTTTTGAGACCTGCTGAGCAGGCTGTGGTGAGATGGGAGGTAGACTGCAAGTGGCTAAGCAGGAGGAGTGGGTGGGAAGGAAATGGGGGCCGAGGGGGTAGTCATCATCTCTTTCAGGAAGGGAAAAGTGAGGTCAGTAGCAGGGGCCAGAAGAAGGGTTCTTGGTGTGGATGGGAGAGGTCCGAATGTGTCTATCTGTAGAAGTAAGACCCTCAGAAAAGCACGACCGAGGAGAATGTCCTCTCTCTACCCTGGCGAAAGCTCAGTCCATGCTCAGAATCCTTGTTGCCCCCCCTGGGGACTTGGCTTCATCAACGCTGTTACTTGTTTGCAACTGTGGGGTATCCCAGGGTCTAGTGGGCTTTGGGGTCTTTGGGTAATTGATATATTTAACTTGTCTGAGCTGTACTTTCCTCATTGTCTCCAAGAGACGGAAGAAAAGAGAAGAAAAAAGGACAAATCTTAGAGTGCCTTTGATCTACAAAGGGAGGAAGTTGGAAGGTATACTCATGGGATAGCTGCTGTCTTCTCCATAAAGCAGTCTCCCAGGACCAAGGGAGTGGGAAGGGTTTGTAGTTCTGATAAGACCGGTGGTCATCGTGGAGCCCACCAGGTTCTCTCCATTAGAGACACAGAGGAACGAAGGAGCAACAGTGAAGGCCTGGGCAGGCGTGGAGAGGAAAATCAGGATTATTGTTAACCTTCTGCAGCCAGGTAGAAAGGAATAGGGAGGGTGTGGATAGAACTGGGAGCTGATAAAAATGCCAAAGGATATATGGCATGTGTGCAGGGGTTGGGGGAGAGAGGAAAGAGAGAAAGAGGCTACTATGATGAAATGACCTCCACAAGAGTCTAGTCATCTATCAGATGGGAGCTGGTGGTCTGGGACAGTGGGTAGGTCTTAAAAGTCTTATGGTGACGGTAAAAATGCAGAGCAGATTCCTTGGAGGAGGATAGAGGGCCCAAAGGTTGTGACCAGAGGGCAATTCCAGAATATTTAATGAAGCAGTTTAGAATGACCAGTGCCAGGGAGTGGTGAGGTCACCCCAAATATTACAGTGTTCTTCATTTCTCTACTTTTTCTTCTATTCCTCATCATACAAATATCTACCCTCCTCTTCCCAAAGGTAACTTTTAGTCTTTATACAGCTTTTTCTATGGAGTATATCACTTATTAATATCATTCAGGAAGCATTTTTTTATTTCTACATTGAGTTTGTAGTGGTTTTTAATGGGTGTATTATATCAACTTATGTTCGCATACACTACTTTGTACTCTTTTTTTTCCCCCTTTGACAAATTCTCAGGTGTGAGGTTACTAAACATAAGGGTGGAGGGAGGTCTTGAAATGTCCTTACTTGATTGCTGCAGCCAGAATTGCAGTGAGCAGAGAGAGGGCAGTAGAGAAGCTAAATAGCCCATCCAACAATAGAATGAGAATGGAAGCTTTTGTGAATACCTTAAATCCACCTCCCACCCTCCTGGTTCTGTGTGCTGCAGGGGAAAATGGAACTGGCTTTTAGGATAACAGAGTTTTGCATCTGTGATCAGCTCCCTGGAGTTTTGCTTGATTTGGTCTTTGATGCTATTCTGGCAGGGTGAGGGTGTGGGGGTGTAGTGCTGACCTCAAGATGCTGAAGAAATTGAAAAGATCTAAGTCTGAGAGGGGAGGGTGACAAAAAAAAAAAAAAAAAAAAGGCGGGGGGAGTCCATTTATGTGTTCTAGAGTGTTGGGGGCAAGGATAAGAAAACTTCATCTTTAGAAATAAATGGAAATAATTACTTTTATTACAATTCTCACAGTGTTAGTAGTTTGAAATGTTTTGACAATAAATGGAAACCTGATTTAGGTAATTATTAAGGAAGTAGTAATATTTTGAATCAGTGATTTCATTAACAGATATTACTATTAACCTCTTGTCTTGTGTCTTATAATTGTAATGGTTCTCCCTCCCCACCCTCCTTTTTATCTTTCAACAGAAAAAATACAGAAAGGGATTTATTGATGTTTCAAAAATCAAGTGTGTGGAAATAGTGAAGAATGATGATGATGTTGTTCCCTGCCAAAACAAATATCCATTCCAGGTGAGTTGCCATGTGTTTGCCAAAGTGTAATTCTGGGTTTTTAGTCATGCTTACTACTACAGTTTCCTGGCATTGCTGTGGTCGTTGATTAAAAAAATTTTTTTCAGCTTTTTTAAGGGACAATTGACACATAGGAGTTGTGTATATTTAAGGGGTACAACTTGATGTTTTGGTGTCTGTGTACATTGTGAAATGATCACAAACTAATTAACATCCATCATTTGACATAGTTAGCATTTTCTTCCTTTCCTTTCCTTTCCTTTCCTTTCCTTTCCTTTCCTTTCCTTTCCTTTCCTTTCCTTTCCTTTCCTTTCACTTCCCTCCCCCCCTCCCCTCCACTCCACTTCCCTTCTCTCCCCTTTGTTTCCCTCCATTTCCCTTCCTTTCTTTACCTTCCCTTCTCTTCCCTTCCCTCTCTTTTCTCTTTTCTTTTCTTTTTTCTTTTCTTTTGTATGTGAGCACTTAAGACCTGCCCTCTTAGCAAACTTCAGGTAAACCATCCAGTAGTATTAACTGTAATTACCATGCTGTATGTTAGATTTCCAGAACATTCATCTTGCTTAACTGAAACTTTGTACCCTTTGACCAACATCTCCCCATGTCCCCCTCCTCCCTGTCCCTGGCAACTACTCCTCTACTCTCTGCTTCTATGAATTTTACTGTTTTAGATTTTGCATAGAGTGAGATCATGTGGCATATGTCTTTGTGTGTCGGAAGGGAGATTTCTAGCCTTGTATTTATTTGTAGCCCATCAAGATGTTTTTGCCTTGTGACTGTGATCAAGGGTAAAGTGACAACAGATCAAAGACAACATTCTTGGGTTAGTTTCCCAGGCTGAATTTTATTACTATATTAAAAATATTAAGAATAAGACTTTTAATTGCTCACCAGGAGTTACCTGTAAAAGAGGCACTGTGGTTCAAGGTTTGGACTCTGAGGTCAGATCCTGATTTTCTGGATGATTAGCCAAATGGCAATGGGTAGGTTAAGGAGCACAACACTGGGGGGGGACACCATGTGCAGCATGTTCTATATGAATGGTGCTTCCTGGGGTTACATAGGAGTGGAGGGTCTGGAGATCAGCCCTTTAGTCTCCTCCTCTATAAAATGTAAATACTGATGCCTTGATGGTCGGATTAATTGAGTTAATGTCTGTAAAGCACATAGCATAGAGTTGGGGTAGTATTTAATAAAGTTAGCTACTGCTGTTATTCATAGTGGCAAAAGGAAGGTATAGGAGTGAAACTGAGAGAGTAGTCCATTCATGTAAAATATTATTCAGAAAAATACTAGATTAGAATAATCCCCGAGACACCAAATTTACTTCAGGATCTTCAGTTAATTAGATTGTGAGAAATAAGATTAGTGAAGCATCTTGGCCTCCGTATATTTTTTCTTCTATGAAAACACAGTCCTTTGCAAAATATGTGTCCCACTTGATGTCGACATGAAGAAATAGATATGCTTTTGTAAGAAAGGAATGCGGGTTCTTTGGATCCGAAGTGATTGACTTTTATTTGATCATTTCAGAATCATTCATTGGCGCCTGTGGTACCAAAGGCTCTGTGCTAGGCAGAAGTGCTGTGCCTAAGTATTTCTCACCTCATCCACATTTTGTTTTATTTTAGGTTGTTCATGATGCTAACACACTTTACATTTTTGCACCTAGTGCACAAAGCAGGGACCGGTGGGTGAAGAAGTTAAAAGAAGGTAAAACTCATGTCGTATTAGCTCTAAATAATTTTAGGATGTTATCATTAAAAAAGAAATACAGCTAATGTATCTTGCATTTATAATCTTTTAAGCTACAGTAAGTGTTTCTCCAAGGACATTCTGTTACTGTGATTCATGCTGAAGAGAGCTTCCTTTTTTATAATCTGATTCTTTCTAGTGGTATATACATAGTGTGTGTGTGTATATATACACACACTTTCATTTAATGCCTAATGCATTTAAAGATGATAAAGCATCTGGGCTTTTAGGATAACAGGATTTGATTTGCTAAGAAATTGCCTATTTAGTCAGCATTTGGTATGGATGAATTGACTTGTGAATAAGTATTTAAATGGGTGATTTACACTGGACAGTCCTCATCCGTTCTTTTGGTTGTGGGCTGACTTTTGTGTTTATCCATCATGGTATAGCAGAGGTCACTTCTGCTAACAAGGGTGCTTCACCAAAAAAAAAGGTGAAAGAGAACCATATGGATTTTCTGAATGCTGGGTTGTATGATGCTGTGAAGGTGTTTTTATAGTAAACATAGTATCTGAGAAATAAAGAATTATCAACAGTGTTATTTACAAAACATTCTATCATCTCTGCTTTATTTCACTGATCATTTAATGTGTCTATGAATTACAGAAATAAAGAACAACAATAATATTATGATTAAATATCATCCTAAATTTTGGGCAGATGGAAGTTACCAGTGTTGTAGACAAACTGAAAAACTAGCACCTGGATGTGAAAAATACAATCTTTTTGAGAGTAGTAAGTATTTATTTTATTTTATAATTATATTGTATGTAGGATGTACATGCTATTGGGATAGTGAAACAGTGACTTGATTTTGATTTTTGATTTTGGAAAGGCCATCTTGAATGGCCTTTACATTTTCTAGCACAGTGTATTTTGTAAGAATAATTATATTTAGTTAGCAGGGAGGCCATATCATGGAATCAAAAGGTCTATTTTTGCGAACTTTTATCATAATAAGGAAGCCTACTTAAAATGACTCTATTAAAAGCATAAGCCTAATGTGGCACCATCAGCAGCTTTTCTTTCTTTTTTTTTAATGTTTGTTTATTTTTGAGAGAGGGACAGAATGTGAGTGGGTTAGGGGCAGAGAGAGAGGGAGACACAGAATCCGAAGCAGGCTCCAGGCTTCGAGCTGTCAGCACAGAGCCCGATGTGGGGCTCAAACTCATGAGGTATGAGATCATGACTTGAGCCAAAGTTGGTTGCTCAACCGACTGAGCCACCCAGGCGCCCCTCTTGTTTCTTTTTTCTTTTCTTTTCTTTTCTTTTCTTTTCTTTTCTTTTCTTTTCTTTTCTTTTGAGAGAGAAAGAGAACATGATCAGGGGAGGGGCAGAGGGAGAAGGAGAGAGAGAATCTTAAGCAGGCTCCACACCCAGCATGGAGTTTGTCCAGGGGCTATGGTCTGAGCTGAAATCAAGGGTCAGAAGCTTAACTGACTGAACCACCCAGGTGCCCCAGGTTTTTTTCCTTCAACTTTATTGAGGTATAATTGGCAAATAAAATTGTAAGATATTTAAAGCGTACAGTGTGATGATTTGATGTACTTCTGCATTATGAATAGATCCTTCCCATCGAGTTAATTAAGACATTTATTACCTTACATGTATACCTTTTTATGTGTATGTGTGAGAGTATGTAAGTTGCACATACTCTCTTAGTACATTTCAGTTCTACATTACGGTGTTATCAAGTGTAGTCCCTATGTTATATATTAGACACTCAGACCTTATTTATCTTCTAAGTGAAAATATGTGCCCTCTACCAATATCTCTATCTCCTTCCCCCCAACCCTCATCCCCTGGCAACCACTTTTTCTACTCTCTGTTACCATGAGTTTGACTTTTTTAAAAAAAATTCTGCATATAAGTGATACCACATAATATTTGTCTTTTTTTCCTGTCTGGACTTACTTCACTTAGTATAACGCCCTCCAGGTTCATCTATGTTGTCGCAAAAGGCAAGATTCCCTTCTTTGTAAAAGCTGAATAAGGTTCCATTGTGTACGTACATACATACACAGCACATTTTTTTTTTTTAAATCCATTCATCTGTTGCTGGACATTTAGGTTGTTTTCATACCTTGGCTACTGTGAATAACACTGCTATGAATATGGGAATGCAGCTATCTCTTCAAGGTACTGATTTCCTTCCCTTTGTGTATGTACCCAGAAGTGGGATTGCTGGGTCATATGCTAGTTCTGTTTTTAATTTCTTGAGGAACCTCCATGCTGTTTTCCAGAGTGGCTGTGCCAGTTTGCGTTCCCACCGACAGTGCACGAGGGTTTCCTTTTCTCTACACCCTCACCAGCATTTGTTCTCTCTTGTGTTTTTGATAATAGTCGTTCTAACAGATGTGAGATGTACCTGTTGGCCTGTATGTCTTCTGTATGTCTTCTTTAGACAAATGTTTATTCAGGTCCTTTGTAGCATCTTTAATTGAATTTTTTCGCTATGGAGTTCTAGGAGCTCCTTGTATATGTTAGATATTAACCCTTTATCTGATATGTGGTTTGCAAACATTGTCTCCCCTTCTGTAGGTTGCCTTTCATTCTGTTGATGGTCTCCCTTGCTGAGCAGAAGCTTCTTAACTTGTCATATTCTTACTTGTTTACAAAGAATAAGTCATGGCCCCAATCCCTACGGCATGTCTGTAGTTGTTCAGGAAGGCAAAAAAACAAACCAGCTTTGATAGCATTTTAAGGTATTTTCGGAAATAGTGATACAAGCCGCATGCACCAGAGTGAGAGAGTCCAGGTAGATTTCTGGTCTCTGTTCACCTTCACTTTTTGTTAAAACTATCAATCGTTGGTAAATGGCATTTGGACCTATTTTTGTTGTTGTCATTTGCAGGTATAAAAAAAGCACTACCTCCAGCACCAGAAACAAAGAAGGTAGGTGGACTTTGCCTTTTGGAAGCATTTGCAGTTTGTTAAGTAAGTTTATATTCATTCACGTGATTCTGCCCCTTTGCCCCCCCTCCCCCGCCACCCAGTATCATATCACAAACAGATATACTATGGATTTTTGAATTTTTTTGGTGTCAAATAACATTAATTTAATTATATCAGATATTATCACTAATTTAATTATATCAGATATTATCACCGGGGACCCTTCCTCATGTGGCATTTTGCTTTTATTTTGGCCTGAAGATTTGTATAAGGGCTGTGGGACGTTAAAGGACTATTTCAGTCTTAAGACCACAGTACTATGCCGAGGAAGTGACTTCAGTGATTTAATGATATGCTTTTGAAGAGTGGGTGAGGTGATTTAATGATATGCTTTTGAAGAGTGGGTGAGGTGATTTAATGATATGCTTTTGAAGAGTGGGTGAGGTGGAAAACACCATACGGGATACTTTGGACCCAGACGGTACCTGATCCAATGTGAATCTGGTACGAGTGACTTTGGGTGGATTCCTTAAACCATGTTTCCTCAGTTGTAGAATGGGAGTTTTATACTCTTATTTCATGGGATCAATATTAAGAATAAAGGAGAAAAAGTGTGTTAGGTACTAAGTGCGTGCCTTGCACATAGTAGGGACGAAGAAGTGCAAATTCCTCTGACTGAGAGGATACCTGGTAAAGGACTCGCTCCCTAGTGTGCCTTTTCCCCATTGCAGGCCATTTGAATGGTGGGTCCACCGTTAGTCCTTTGGTTTCTACTCCCATATTATCCTTAGCTCTCCCTGGAAGGCCAGCCTTGACACCGAGCAGAGGCTGTTTGATGTTTAAAGAGGGGTTTTGCTCGTGTCCTATATTCTGAAACTCATGAGAGGTCCAGTAGCATCAATATCATTAAACTCACGGGAAGGTTCCCCGGGTTGTATTATGTAGACTTGAGGTTTCTGCTTTATCCTCTGGTGCTGTGTGGATCACTTAGTGTTTGATTTCATACCCAGTTTCAAGCAGAATGACTAAATTTTCAGATGTTGTCTCCTCTTCTTAGCGAAGGCCTCCCCCACCAATTCCACCTGAGGAAGAAGATAATAGTGAAGAAATCGTTGTAGCCATGTATGATTTCCAAGCGACAGAAGCACATGATCTCAGATTAGAGAGAGGCCAAGAGTATATTATATTAGAAAAGAATGATGTTCATTGGTGGAGAGCAAGAGATAAATACGGGTAAGTGCTTCCTCTCTGTGCATGACACACAGAGCGGGGGGTCGGGGTGGGGGTGAAGTGCTGAGCAAGAAGAGAATCGTCTGTAACAATCATGTAATGAGACTGGTTCAGCCAGCAAGTAATGGAAGTACACATCGTTACTTTGCAGTAACAAAATGTAGTCTCAGTAATGACTCAATAAATGTAAATGGATCAACCACTTCTTTCCAGAAATTAGAATGCATCACATTGGTCTCTTTCTCATTCATTAGATGTTTAATTAGATAACTTTTATCTTGGGGGAATGATATTTTAGGCTTTTCTCCCCTGAGGTAAGTAATCTTACATTTTTCTAAGAGGGAGAATGTGTGTGTGTGCTTGTGCGTGCGTGCATGTGTGTATGTATAAAATACATGTATACACATATATGCAAGAAATTTAAAAACAAGCATTATTTATACAAGATAATTTTGGATTTAAAGGAACCGTCCTTTCAACTTTATTATTGGTAAGTAATGAATAGATCTGGATAAATGTAGAGGATGAGCATCCTTTAGGCTTCATTAAGGAAACTCTATCCTTTGCTTGCCTCTGAAATATAATCCTGTTTATATTCTGAGTTCTTGTGGATAAAAAGAGGAGGACTTTTTGACCTGGACAGAGCATACCCTCCCTCCAAATCTACTTTCTCACCTCCTTGCCCCATTCTCAATTCCAGTTTTCTATTCCTCGCTTCACTTGTGGACTGATTTACCAATCTTCCCAGTTGTTTTTTTCTAGAGTATTTAAAAGTAAATTCAAGGGGTGCTTGGGTGGCGCAGTCGGTTAAGCGTCTGACTTCAGCCAGGTCACGATCTCGCGGTCCAGGAGTTCGAGCCCCGCGTCAGGCTCTGGGCTGATGGCTCAGAGCCTGGAGCCTGTTTCCGATTCTGTGTCTCCCTCTCTCTCTGCCCCTCCCCCGTTCATGCTCTGTCTCTCTCTGTCCCCAAAATAAATAAACGTTGAAAAAAAAAAATTAAAAAAAAAAAAAGTAAATTCAAATCATTTTGTCAATTTCATCCCTAAGTCTAACTGCTAAAGATGTTTTTGAACAACTACCATGTCGTTATCATACTTCATGATAATTTAAAAAAATACCATCTGTAGACTTTCCCCTAGCATTTTCAGGACTGAAAGAAGAGTACAAATGAAAGCCCATATATCATGTATCTAAGTATTTTGAAGTTATAAGTCAAGCCGACAAACTGGTCAATAAAATATCATTTATCCTGTAACCTGACAAACGTACCTTCAAAATGACAAGGAGGCAAGGTTTGAATTAAGAGTCCCATGCCAGAAGGTGACAGTGCATGGAGGGCTGACTCCCTGGGGTACCTTCCTTTCCTCTTCCCTTCTACCTCAGTTCTGTCTCACGTGTACCATATGGATCTCCCAGCCATACGTCTAAGCTCTGTCCACATAGTTTACAAGAGCCACTCCCCAACTTGGCCACCCTTGGACCTGGGCTGAAGGAGTTGCACATAACTAGCATAATTTACTTTTCAGAGTCTGCAAGGTGAAAGGTCTGTGTTGGCCTTAGCAATGGACAGAGAGTTTGGGGGTCCTAGTTACCCAGATGATGGTCTAGAGGAGGACTGAGGGAACATGGACTTTAGCATGCTCTTAGAAGTGTGAGACCACGACAGGGACCTCTCTGATCAAGGTCTAAGGATAGTACCCATTATGTAATTCCATTTTTCCCTGAGTAGCTCTAATATGTATTTATACAGTTTAAGTAAGACTAAAACAAGCTCCACATACTGCATTTGGGCTGATAGGTCTCTCTTTTGTTCTACAACAGCCCCCATCCTTTTTTTTTTTTTTTTTTTTGATTTATTGATGAAACCAGGTCATTTACCCTATGAAATGAGCCACAATCTAGATTAAACTAAATGCTTTCACATGGCATCATCTAATATGTCTCTGTGTCCTGTATTTCCTGCAAATTGTAATCTAGAGGCTTGATCACATTAGAAGTTGATATCTGGTTGTCCCACTTCTAATGATGTGAAGATTACTCAGTGGTTCAGGTGATGAAAAAACTCATCACGATTGCACCGAATGATTTTGGCATTCATTAGTGATTACTGCTTAGATCCATTATTTCATTAGGGATTGTAAAATGATAATTTTCTGACTCTTCATTCCGTCTACATTTATTAATTCTCTAAAGAAGAACTGCCTCATCAGCCAGTTCATTTAGTTTGTGCAGCAAAGGCAAGAGAAATGTTTGATTCTTTCCTTTTACCAATTTTAGTGCGTTGATAACTGAGCTTCCTCTAGTGATAACAATGGTACCCAATTATTTTTTTTAAGTATTATTATGGATGCATATTGCAACCATTGCAGTCATTATTCTTTTTGCTTGAATTGTCCCATCATAGGTGAGTGGTAGCTGTTTTTGGTTGGGATCACTTAAAAAATTTTTTTTTATGTTTTTTTTTATATTTGAGAGAGAGAGAGAGAGAGAGCGGGGGAGGGGCAGAGAGAGAGGGAGACACAGAATCCTAAGCAGGCTCCAGGCTCTGAGCTGTCAGCACAGAGCCCGACATGGGGCTCAAACTACTGAACTGTGAGATCATGACCTGAGCCGAAGTCGGATTCTCAACCGACTGAGCCACCCAGGTGCTCCTGGTTGGGATCACTTTAATCTTTCTTAGATTCCTTGCTTTCTGGGTAAAATAAAACAGCTCAAGTTCATCTTGTATTTTTCCTGGCCAAACCTGCAATTTGTCATTTTCCCGAGGAATGCTGCCTCTTAGGAAGTTAATCTTTGGACAATAATCAGAATGCTAGGATTCTAATTACTACTTGATTGTCATTGTTTCTAGGCCTTTTCAGTGCAACAGAGCTACGTGTGTGTGTGTGTGTGTGTGTGTGTGTGTGTGTGTGTGTATTATGAGTTCTTACTAATAGTTCAAATTCAAAAAAAAAAATTTTTTTTTTAACGTTTATTTATTTTGAGACAGAGAGAACAGAGCATGAACAGGGGAGGGGCATAGAGAGAGGGAGACATAGAATCTGAAACAGGCTCCGGGCTCTGAGCTGGCAGCACAGAGTCCGACTCAGGGCTCGAACTCATGGACCGTGAGATCATGACCTGAGCCGAAGTCGGACGCTTAACCGACCGAGCCACCCAGGTGCCCCCAAATTCAAATTTAAGATTACTAGGGTTTTACTCAATTTTTAAAATTGTATACATGTATGCCTTTTATCTTACACTGATAATCTGGGCTCCTACCAAGAGTGTACCTATTATGAGTGGGGTTTTTTGGCTAAAAATTTTTTTAATTAAATTTTTTAAATTAAAAAAAATTTTCCCAGTTTTATTGAAGTATGATTGATAAGTGAAAATTACATATATTTAAGGTGTACAACACAATGTTGTAATATATGTATGCATTGTGAAGTGATTTCCACAATCAAATTAGAAGACCCATCATCTCACCTAGTTACCTCTTCGTGAGCATTTGAGATTTTCTCTAACAGATTTCAGGTGTGAGGTCTTCTTCAGCTGTAATGTGTAAGAGTTATGAGGGGTAAAACTGAAATTTCCTTGGCCTCACATACGCCTTCTCATTCAGTTCCCTTGGGGTATGACCCAAGAATTTGCCTTTGTAACAAGTGGCCCAGGTGATGTTGATATAGAGGTCAGGGACTACTGTGAAACAATGCTCTCCACAGATGTTTGGGACTATTGACAAGATGGGTGTTTTTATCCAACATTTTCACTTTTCTCAAATAGAGATTTCTTTAAAACATCCCAAGAATTCAAGGGAAGTATCGTGAAATGTTAGGAAGGGCTCTGAACCTAGTCACAAGTTCAGATTTTAAGTTCTTACCCTGTTACTGACTAGGTTTGGGACCTGAAGAAAATCCCTTAATCTTTCTAAGCTTCATTTTCCCCACCAGGAAGTGGGTATAGTAGTGCCTGCCTACCTCACAATTTTAGGGAAGGCCAAACGAGGAAGTACTTTGTAAAGCATCAAATGCTATAGGTATATTGAATTATTGGGGGTTAGCTAGTTTTTCTTGAAGCTTTAGGCAATATAATGCTTTAATGATTTCATAAACGCAATAATCTTTCTTTTAATAACTTCTCAGTAAAATAATTTCAGTTTACTTAAAAGTATTTTCCTTCCTTCCAGGAGTGAAGGATACATCCCAAGTAATTATGTAACGGGAAAGAAATCGAACAACTTAGACCAATATGAGTAAGTAAATGGTTTTTTTGTGAATGTGGAGAACCAGAAAATGTTTTCATTTTCCTAGTTATGTAAGGCATTTTGGAGATGAATAGATATCTTTCCTGAAGTCAGTTGTACAGAGTGGATGTTGTGAGAATTAGTTTCTCTAAATAGGCTTTACCTGAAGGAACTATGTATGAATGCAGTTACACGGGCAAATATAATTGAATTTATTTTAAACAAATCACAGCTTAGCTGACTTTGAAGTACAGATCATTGTTCATTCATTCAGGAAATCAGAATACAGTTTCCAAGAGTGGCCTTAAAAAAAAAAAAAAAGTTTGTTTCTTTTCTCTTGCTATGATAGCAATATGATCATAGCAATATGATAGCAATATGTTTAAAATACGAAAAATGTTAATAAAAATTACTCATAAATCAACTAGAGTTGGCCCGTGTTAACATTAGCATATTTCCGTTCAGTTTTTTTTTTTTTAACTGTTATTTAAGGAGCAGAATCATGCTGTGTATGTTTTGTATCCTTTTTGTTCTACTTCACAGTATATTATGAATTGAATTTTCCTCATGCCATTGGGTATTCTTCAAAAACATTTTCATAACTGCATTATGTTTCATTCAGTCACAAATTCATCAGATATTTACTGAGATCCTAGCATGTATGAGGCACTGTGGTAGGCCTTAGCGCATACAACGAGGCACATGCCACATAGATGTGTGATATTTTATATAACCATTGCCTTATTTGTAAGGCACTGTGCTGTGTAGCATCTTTGCTCCGTAACGTTAACTGGGATAACCTCTTTTTGCTTATTGTTTTCAACGAGGTCTCTAAAAATTTACATACTGGTCTAAAGGGTAGTGATGAACTTGTTTAGGACTCCTAATACATGCTGTCAAACTGCTTTCCAGAGAAGGCAACGGGCATACTATTTATAAGCCCACTAGCAGTGCGTGGCCAGGTTTTAATGAGAAGCTCATATATACCAGATACTCTTCTGTGGTCATTCTGAGGGGGTCATTCTGATGCTTCATTCACTTATTTAAAAACACCACCATCACCACCACCAACAAAAAGCTGTCTTCTCTGTCCGTATCAGTGCCCATAAGGTGGATGTACCTTAAAATCTAGAAAAGGATTAATAGCCCTCGGTGGTGTGATCCCCCAAAGTTGTTTTAGAAGTAGATAAGGTATAAAAAATATGTAAAATAAATAGTGTTTCTGTTCTTAAATAAATTCTAGGAAAAAATACCAAAATCTTTAGAATTAGGGAAGGTACTAAACAGTGAAAACTTGGACCTTATTTTCTTTTTCTTTTTTTTTAAATTTATTTATTTATTTTGATAGAGCATGCGCACAAGTGGGGGAGGGGCAGAGAGAGAGGGAGAACGAGAATCCCAAGCAGGCTCTGCGCTAACAATGCAGAGCCCAATGCAGGACCTTATCCCACCAATTGTGAGATCATGACTTGAGCCGAAATCAATAGTTGGCTGCTTAACCGACTGAGCCACCCAGGCGCCCTTGGACCCTACTGTAAAGTGATCTGACTGACAGTCAGCGAAAGACAGATATTGTATGTTTTCCCTCATATGTGGAACTCGAGAAACTTAACAGAAGACCATGGGGGAAGGGAAAGGGAAAAAATAGTTACAAGCAGAGAGGGAGGGAGGCAAACCAAAAGAGACTCTTAAATACAGAGAACAAACTGAGGGTTGATAGAGGGTGGGGGAGAGGGGAAAGTGGGTGATGGGCATTGAGGAGGGCACTGGGTGTGATTTGTAAGCGATGCACCACAGGAATCTACCCCCGAAACCAAGAGCACACTGTATATAGTTGGCAATAAATTATATTTAGAAAAACGAATAAACAAAGTGATCTGACTGAGACATAACTGATGATTTGAAGAGGGTTATGCTTGGAAGCCAGATAGTCCTTGTCTAATTGTGAGAACTCCCCTGATTCTTGGGATTACAAATAAGGATTTTATGAAGGTTGTGATTCATTGCCATGAATTTTTTGGATTTATCTTAGTTTGGAAATGCCCTCTCTTCTAAGGGACTCTCCTCCTACTCTGTGTGACTAAATGAATTTGCCATATACGGTCTCTGGTGTGGGAATCCCCTCAGCCCTCTGCCCAGGGTCAAGGATTCCACATGGCATGTGCCATGCCTCGCTCAACAAGAACAAAACCTGTTTTCAGTGTAGACAATCAGAGATCCCCCCCTCTTCTCCCTGTTTTCCCATGCCAAGATTTGTGTTGTTCTCTGCTACAGCCCATGCTGTAACACATCTCAAATGTTCCCAGGGTTTAAAAAAGCCTTTTGCCAGCTATTGAATCAAGAGTTCTCCTGCTGTTTTTGGGGGCCCAGGAGTCCCAGGCAACAGACAGCCCATGGGGCTGGACTCAGGATTGCCAGGCCTGAGGCTCCCAGGGCCAGCAGAACCTAGTTCTGACCTCCACATCCAGGTAACAGTTTGAAGAGGAGAGAGTCAAAGGAGCTGCTGCAGGAAAGAAAGTGGGTTCATGGTGATGGTCATGACAAGTTCTTGGTGGAAGGATGTTAAAGGAAGAAGGTGATAGAAATGAAAGGGCCCTTCGAATAGGGCAAAGTCTAAGATAAAAGGCTTTGAGTGGGTGGCTCAGGGGAAAGGGGTCAAATTACAGAACCAGCAAAGAATCATAGCTGGTTGTTTGGTTTGTTTCTGGTTTTCCATCATTTACACTGGTTGTCTTTTTTCTTTTTGTTAAGTTTGTTTATTTACTTTTTGAGAGAGAGAGAGGGAGAGAGAGAAACCACAAGTGGGAGAGCAGCAGAGAGAGACGGAGAGAGAGAAGCCCGAGCAGGCTCCATGCTGACACGGGGCTCCATCTCACAAACCGTGAGATCTTGACCTGAGCTGAAATCGAGAGTTGGATGCTTAACCAGCTGAGCCAACCAGGCGCCTCCCTTTCACAGAGACATTTGTGTGACCGGCTAGGACAGATGTACGTGGGCCAGCATCTGCCCCAGCACTTTTGCTCACCATGTGGGCTCCTTCACGTTTACCCGTGTGCAGAGTTCCTCTTGCCAGGATGAGTTCAGCAGAGCCATCAGTGGCCTTCCTGTCTCGCCTGGTGATAAGCATCATAGAAGAGAGAGAGAAGCTACAATGGGCCATTGGGAAATACCACTAATTGATTCATCAGTTTGTTCCTCACTCCTTACTCCTTTCCTTCCTTCAACATATTCTTAAAGGTCTGAGTTTACATCCGAGGGAGGAGAAATGTCCTTTCTGGGGAATCCGCAAATGCCAGAAAAAGCACTGCTTAGGGCAGGATTCCAAAAAGGCTGCCTGCCCTTTGTACCATGGATTCCTTTTCTTTCTTATTTCCTTTTTCCCTTCCCAGGAGTTGAATGTGCTAGATGAAGAAAGGACTCTTTCTTTCTCTGTTTCCTCCTGAAAGCCACAAGTTAGCCTTAACTGTTTTCTTGCATCTGAACGTGAGACTAACTCTCCGTTGCTTACTCTTGCTGTGAAGATGTGGGTTTGAATCTTTGTTATTTACAAAGAAATTTTTTTTTCCAATCTTTCAGGTTCTGCTCGTTTATAATATATGCCATGAGAACTCCAGTTGCCTTTCCTTAATTAATTTTTGACTTTTTTGGCATTCTGATGAATGTTTCTTGTATCAGTGGAAAAGCTCAGGGACAGAATCCATTATGTTCTCCTCATTTATTGTATCTCTCTATTGCTTTACGGAAGTTGATTGATTACAACTGCAATTTCGTTAAACTTGGTCTCAGTTCATAAAATGGGGTCCACGGCAATGAGATCTTAATGCCCATAATTCTGGTTAATCACCCCAGGCTCCAAATAAAATAAGAGCCATCAGCTTGTACTGAGATTGTAGTTAGGCTGCTACGAGTGCATAAAAGCATCCAGACCAAAAAAAGGATCTTGTATTATATTTTGGTCTCTGTATTTTTCCCTTTATGTTCACTTGTCTCAGGGTACTTCCTGCGTCAAAAGCAGGTGCTGGTTCTTTTATAATCAAGCTGAACCAGCGGTAGAAAATCCAGATGTCCAGAGGGGCCTGTCTGGTTTCATAACATTAGAAGCCTCAGGAAATAAGACTGTGGTGGAGGGTTCTCTGCTCACTGAAGGGCATCTAAAACAAACAGATCAAAACAAACAACAGAAGTTTAAAAACGAACGCCAAAGGAAATGGTCTGAGTTCATGTTCTTTGGCCTCTCTCATGGAGAGATTGGGCTGGGGGAAGCAGGGAGAGGAGAGAGTATCTCAGAGGATGAGATGGGAGATGGCAGTTTCCATCTTTCCTTGGGAAAGATTCCCCAGGGGTTAAGAAGGGGCACTGATCTGCAGGGGTTTGGGATCATTGCCCAGAGTGGTGACAGAACCTGGTGGGAGGGCTGGCATCGCTGCTTGGCAATAGCAGTATTCCTACGGCAGAGACTTAGGTGACCGCCAGGGTGTGGGGCTGTGCTACAACTAGTAAGTCTAGAAAACTCAGGAGGCCTATTCTTCTGTTTTGCTGTCTTTCTTTTGACACTTGGGGCCTTTGTGAAATTCAGTGGGAGAGCTTCCATTATGACTTGCAATGAAATCTACTACCTATTGGTGGGATAGGGGCTTGGGGTAACTTTTAACTTGAATTAAATACAGTAGTGAAAGTAGGATGATGTTCCCTGCATGTTTGAATCTGTGGAGTAAAATTCATTCTTGTAATTATTACAGAAAAATTGGAAATGATTTTTATGTTAAATAATGAAGAATAGTTTAAATAAATTACGGCATAGCCATACCACGGTGCCTAGAACTATATTGCTTTGCAAAGATGTCTGTCCATACACTATTATATAAAAAGTTCTGGTTATGATATAGCAAGTATAGCTTGATCCCACTTTAATAACAAAATGTGAATGTTGGCATATGTACATATCGTCGTAATAACATGAGTAGGGAAAGTCTGAAGGTATATATACCCAAATGTTATTAGTGATTGTCTATATCATTGAGATTATGAGTAATGTCTTGTTGTCACTTATTGTATTTATTATTGATGAGCAGTGTTACCTGGTTAAGCCTAGAGAGAACAATCCTAGAGAATTGTAAAAACCTGAGGCCTTAAATGTACTTTCTTTTCTGTTCAGATGGTATTGCAGAAATACGAATAGAAGCAAAGCAGAGCAACTCCTTAGAAGTGAAGTAAGTTTTTGTACTTGTTTTGTGAGTTCGGTTTCAGTGCAAATTAATTGTAACAAATCTCTGAGAAGTGATTTCACGTATCTGTTTCTAAAGGCTAAAAAATACTGTGATGTAAGTGGTCCTTTTTAATCATTTAAAATTGAGTATTTGTGTACTGTTAGTTTCTTGGGGCCACCAAAACAAGGTACCACAGACTGAACGGTTTAAACAACAGAAATGCATTGTTGCATGATTCTAGAGGTTAGATGGAAGTCTGGAATCCAGAGGCCAGCAGGGTTGGCTCCTTCTGAGGGCTGTGAGGGAGGGATCTGTTTCAGGCCTTCCACCTTTTTTCCCTCTGTTCCATCCTTCATGCATATCCGTCTCTGTGTCCAAATTTCCCTTTCTTTTTCTTTTTTTTTTTTTTTAACATTTATTTATTTTTGACAGAGAGAGAGATTGAGTGGGAGAGAGGGAGAGAGAGGGGGAGACACAGAATTCAAAGCAGGCTCCAGGCTCTGAGCTGTCAGCACAGAGCCTGATGTGGGGCTCAAACTCATAAGCCATGAGATCATGACCTGAGCCAAAGTCAGACACGTAACCAACTAAGCCACCCAGGTGCCCCCCAGATTTCCCTTTCATATAAGGACTCCATCATATTGTATTAGGGCCCAGTCTATTGATCTCATTTCAATTCAGTTCCCTCTGTAAATCTCTAAATATGGTTAGGACTCCAACGTATCTTTTTTGAGTAGGAGACAATTAAATCCATACCAATAGGTAACAACTAGTACATGGGTAACATTTTCTTTACTTCCTTTCTCACTAATGTATTATTTGCTACCTTGATTTTAGTACTTAAATGTGTTTTTCCTTTTTGCTTGAAGTTATTTGTTTTAAAATAATTTATATCAGTATTACATGATATCTATTATAAATGAAGTTTTTATTTATTTATTTATTTTTTTTAATGTTTATTTTTGAGAGAGAGAGAGAGGTGGGGGGAGGGCAGAGAGAGAGAGGGAGACACAGAATCTGAAGCAGCCTCCAGGCTCTGAGCTGTCAGCACAGAGCCCGATGCGGGGCTGGAACCCATGAACCACGAGATCATGACCTGAGCTGAAGTCGGATGCTTAACTGACTGAGCCACCCAGGCACCCCATAAATGAAGTTTGATTAAGTATTTAGTTGCCTTTAGAAATAAATAAGCCAAATAATAGTAAGTAATAAGTGTGCTAAAATTCTTACACTTTAAAAAGCAATAAAACAAAAGGGTAAAATGTAGTATAGAGGGAACTGCAATAGACCAAGTAAGGAGACCTGAGTCTAGCTGTAACTTCTCTAGTCTGTTTTGCACATCTGTAAGATAAGAAGGTTGGATTAGAAGATGATCTGTACAATTCTCCACATTTATGATCCAGTTATTCTATTTTGTAATGGTTCTCCATTTTTTTAAAGTTTTATTTATTTTTGAAAGAAAGAGACAGCGTGTGTGCATGCGGGGGTAGGGGCAGAGAGAAAAGGAGAGAGAGAATCCCAAGCAGGCTCTGTGCTAATATCACAGAGCCTGTTTTTTGACTATTAAACACACTCTCATCTTAAAGCTAGAGACTGGGGGGTTATCGGCAGAGAGGTATTTGACATTCCTAGCTTCTGTTTCTTGCTGTTTCGCTGAAAACTTGAGAACTTATTTTTTAGTCATTCTGTTTTGTTTTGCTTTTTGGTTTTCTCTGCCTGATTTACTTGTGCCTGCAGCTCTCCTTTTGTGAACAGTGATATTTAACATCAATTTCCCGGGGAATTAGGGATCTTAAAGAATGTTCTTATAAAGAGCACTGAGATATTTACAGGAAAAATGCTGTGTGGATAGAAGATGATATTGAGTCAGGATTCAAAGCTTCTAGCAAATATGAGAAGTGTATGCTATGAAACCCAATTATTAAGACACACGTTTTTCAGTAACTGTTTCCCCACATGTCTAGCACTTCTAGAAATTGCGAAACCTTGTGTATCGGTTCTGAAAGGACACTTCGAGATATCTTGTTGAAATACCTCATGCTGTTGTGTGTGGTGATTTGTGACTGGGGGAATTGTGAGTGTACTTTCTTCAACTAATCTCACAGCCCAGTAATGTGAAGGGGAAAGTCATGTAGTTACACCCTGTTTTTTTAAGTTGTGCTTCTCCAAAGCAGATTTTCTAAGCAAAGGATAATAAACATGAAATTACAAGATGGGTTTCTTGAATCTTCTCTATGGCATTGATACTTGCTGTTAGATTGGAAACATTTTCTTAACTTGGATTTTAGGATAAAGAAGGTGGTTTTATGGTAAGAGATTCCAGTCAGCCAGGCATGTACACGGTCTCCCTTTATACAAAGTTCGGAGGGTAAGTAATCAATCGATCAAGCTCTCTCTCTCTCTTTAAGAGTTTTGATATGAAGTTCCTGTGTAGTTTTTATGGATTCCTAATGTTCAAACAATACGCTGCATTTCAGCACGAAACAAGAAAACCTGCACTTGATTTCTAAAATCTATCCTATTTTTTGTGTTCATATTTCTTTATATCCATATTTCCTGTACTTGGTAATCTTCCTTATGGTTTTCCATATATATCCACTGAGAATGTCTATGGAAACGTTAGCAACATTCAAGAAATGAGTACTGTGCACTGCACTAAGCACTAAGGCTGGCACAGCGAACAAAGTAGACACAGACCCTGCCTTCCTATAGCTTAGTGGGGGATTCAGACAAGCAACCAGGCAGTTGTGGTAGCATGTGAGTAAGTATTATGCTCGGAGAGCAATGTGTGTATGTGTGCGGGGGTAGTCCATGGCCCAGACACATCCAAGTTAGTCACCAGTGTTTTCTAGGGACATCTAGACAGACCTGGTGGGTAATGCAGGCAGAAGGTGGGGGGAAGGGAAAGAGTGTTTCTGACTTAGGAAACTGGACCCGGAATTGAGGGAGGATATGATGAGTTCCAGGAACTGACAAGAGAGTATTTTAGCCAGAATGGAAGGGGGCGGTGAAGGGAGGAAAGAGAACCCTAAGAGATAAAAGTAGAGGTCAGGTCACGCCAGTGTCAAGGAGCTTTATTTTAAGAGCAGAGGGAATTCTCTTGAAAGAATTTTTAGCAAGACATGACTCGAGAAGATCTGTGTTCTAGAAAGATATCTAAAATAGAATTTATACATTTTTTAGAAGTGGGTTGGTTCACTTTTAGAAGTATAAGTCTTGTAGACATTTGCACATTTACATTAATAGCAGGGACAAAAAACAGTAGCCAGCTAAGAGGTATTTTAAGACTTTTACGTGTTGGTAAATGGAGTTGGTAAATTTTCTCTTTCACAATCTCATGCAAGGGCCAAGTACATTACCAGTGACCACTTTAAAAACTTCCACCTGTTAATGTGACAGGTGAAGCTAAGAAGAACGTGGGGGAAAAAATAAAAGTTGTGCAGAGACTAGAAGGGGCCATATGTAGGGACCTGTGGTTTCTTGGTGGAAAACATCTTAAGAGTGATGTTACGTTATTACAGTTTGGTGCTAACACAATTTGATTTTTGTTTCAGAGAAGGCTCGTCGGGTTTCAGGCATTATCATATAAAGGAAACAACAACATCCCCAAAGAAGTATTATCTCGCAGAAAAACATGCATTTGGTTCAATTCCTGAGATTATTGAATATCATAAGCACAATGCAGCAGGTAAATGATCTGTTAAAACATTTTTCAAATATAGGGTAGGGATTACGGTGGTCAGACATTGTCAGGCAAACGTGATAACCACTCCACTACGGAGACCCCACGGCTACATGGTCAGACATTGTGATGAATTCTTCCTTGAACAGTTTCAGTTTGTAGTTAATTGTAGAGTGTGATTGATTTAAAATTATTGCAGGGGCGCCTGGGTGGCGCAGTCGGTTAAGTGTCCGACTTCAGCCAGGTCACGATCTCGCGGTCCGTGAGTTCGAACCCCGCATCGGGCTCTGGGCTGATGGCTCAGAGCCTGGAGCCTGTTTCCGATTCTGTGTCTCCCTCTCTCTCTGCCCCTCCCCCGTTCATGCTCTGTCTCTCTCTGTCCCAAAAATAAATAAACGTTGAAAAAAAAAATTATTGCATATTAAGGATGTGATATATACAAAGAAAAATGGGAAATAATATTAAGTCTTGTAAAAGGCTGTCTTGGGGCGTCTGGGTGGCTCAGTCAGTTCAGTATCTGACTGTTGGTTCCGCTTAGGTCATGATCTCACAGTTCATGGGATCGAGCCCCATGTTGGGCTCTGCACTGAAAGCCTGGAGCCTGCTTGGGATTCTCTCTCTCCTCTCTCTGCCCCTCCCCTGCTCTCCCACTCTCTCTCTCTTAGAATAAATAAACCTTAAGTTTTTTTTTTTTTAAAAAAGCTGATTTGACCTCAGCTCATGAGTTACTCTTATTGTATATGATGAATGTTCACATTTCTGTCGCTTATACCCTTGGTATTAACAAAGACTCCTTGCTTGACTAAGCATTAGTCAGGCTCCTAAACCATCTTTTAGACCCATTTATTTATGCACTTTCTTGTAAGATCCAGTTTTAGCAAGAACCCTGCTAAGTCAGTTTCACCGGAACTCCCACCCTTGATATCCACTCGCACTCAGTCTCTGATCAGGTTCCTTATTTCCCACTGGGTGATGTTCGGTCACCCTGGCTTATATTCAGCAAGATCCTGTTAGATTGGCGTATCCCAACCCCCTCCCTGCCTAGAGTTCCTCTTAGTAATTTTCCATCCACTGACTGCCCCCCTGCTCCTTGGCTGTAAATTCCTGCTTGTCCATGCTATATTTGGAGTTGAACCCAGTCTCTGTCGAACTCTAAAATCATATTGCGGTGGTTCCTATACCAATCACAATGGTCCTGAATAAAGTCTACCTTACCACCTTTAGAAGTGTCATTGGAGAGTTTCTTTTTTTAACAGTATTAAACTAAATCCTAAGATATGTCTATATCAGGGCTGTCACAGAAGCCGTCAGACAAGCCCAGGGTTTAGGGCTATGCTAGGGGCTTCTAAAGACTAGAGTAGTTGTGTCCTGAATGAGTTTTCCATCTTGCTGAATCTCTGCTATACTTACCACCGGAGTGGGAACAAACCAAACACCAGAACCAGAAACTACATTGATGTCCGTTTTCTCAGATAATGATAGGAACAGTTATTGAGAGATAATTTAAATAGCATAAAATTCGCCCATTTAGGTATACAGGTGAGTGGTCATTAGTGTGTTCAGAGCGGTGCCGACTATCACCGTAATCTAACAACATTTCATCATCCTCAGAAGAAATATTGTGCCCATCACCTGTCTCTCCCCCCGGTTCCCCTGCCCCTCTTTTACCAATCCAGCCCTTGGCAACCACTAATCTACTTTCTGTCTCCACAGATTTGCCTATTCTGGACATTTTATATAAATGGAATCATACAATAGGTGGTCTGTTACGACTGGCTTCTTTGACTTAGCATAATGTGTTTGACATGTGTCCATGTTGTAGCCTGTATAAGTGTCCCGTTCCTTTTTATTGACAAATCATAATCCACTGTGTTAATTTGGTTTATCCATTTTGTTGTCATTCATCAGGGGTGGACATCTGGCTTGTTTCCACATTTTGGCTTTTACGAATAATGCTGCTGTGAACATTTGTATCCAAGTTTTTGCACAGAAATAGGTTTCATTTCTCTTGGTTACTTACCTAGGAGTGAATTTGCTGGGTTATATGTTAAGTCTGTGTCTAACACGTGAGGAGCTATTTTCATTATCGATTTATCCCCCAAGAACTTTTTCTTACCTCTTATTCTGTTACTTTCTTTTTCAGGGATCACATTCCCTATTTCTTTCATCTCCTTGTATAACAACCGTTACCTCAATTCAGTCATTTAGCAAACATGTATTAAGTGTCTGTTATGTGCCAGGCATTGTGCCTGGTTCTAGGGAGTCTGTGGTGGACTAGAGATAGTCATTGACCCTGTGTCTCTCCGAACTTACTGTCTGGTGAGGGAGACAGAGAAGTATGTAACACTTTAAAGTTACTATGAGATACGCTGTAACTGAAGAAATACAGAGGAAAATGGATGCTTATAGGAGAGATACCTGTGCCATTTCTTCTCATTTAGTGCTGGGAGCAACTTACGTTAAAGGGTTTACTCCACCTCACTGACTTCCAGTAGTTTCTCTTCCAGTTGTTGATATTTTAGAGCCTCTATTTATGCTAACGTTACTTGTATTGAGTTAGCAAGGTGAATCACTTTAATTTTTAATAGACTACCTTAAATCCCTTTCATAGTTCAGATCTCATTGGAAAACAAAATGAAATAATAAGCGATAGTAACTGTTAGAAACCTTTTAACATTTTCAAAAATGTTTGAGAAGCAAATATGCTAGCAGAGAGCTCGATAAACCCTGTAATATTTATTTATTTATTTATTTATTTATTTAAATTTATTTATTTATTGCTGAGAGAAAGTAAGGCAGGGAGGGGCAGAGAGAGAGGAAGAGAGATAGAATCCCAAGCAGGTTCCATACTGTCAGCACAGAGCCCGACCCGGTACTCGAACTCATGAACCGCGAGATCATGACCGGAGCCAAAATCAAGAGTTGGACACTTAACCAACTGAGCCACCCAGGTGCCCCAGAACACGGTAATATTTAAAAGGCAGTGTTTGTTGAGTGAATAAAAGCATTTCTATCTTTAAAAGTTTTTTTATGTTCTGTAAAAATATGAAATGGTCAAGTCAAAGTATAGGATTATCTTCTTCCTGCCTGCCTTCCTCTGGTTTTATTTTTCGCTAGCATATAGCAGGGTACTGTATGTACCCACAGAGGATGAGCACTTAGTGGAAAATGAATGGACTTTGTACAGGAGTTTCTAAGGTTTGTGCTTTACCATGCGGAGTGATTAAGAATGAATTCAACTGCACTGCTCTCTCTGACCTCCAGGACTCGTCACAAGGCTGCGGTACCCAGTTAACGTGAGGGAGAAGAATGCACCGACCACTGCAGGATTCAGCTATGGTAACTCATTTCATAGTTGCACTGGCTAACTTTCCTTGAAAAAAATCTATCACTCCAAGACCAGTTTAGATGTTTAGGATTCCACATAGTAGAACTGTTTTTATAGTTTCATAGTATGGGTTTTTAGATGATTGTACTCATAGCTATGGTAGCCCTCGATTTTCTGTTTTCATCATTATTCATAATTCAGAAAACTTCCTGTTGGTGAAAAATAAGCACTGCCATGTTATTTCTAAAATAAACCAAATCCTTTCCTGGTTCTCACTAGCCTTGTTGGTTACTCACAGGAAGTTAAGGATGGGGGTAATAAAGAAGGCATCCACTTGAGGTCTTTGTTGCTTCCAGCAAAAGCCTTTTAAACAGAAGATTAAATTCTTTCCAACCTGATGTAATTGGGGGAAAAAAACAAAAAACGAAACTGAGGGGGAAGAATGCTAAAGGAGGAAGCGTTTGATTTTGTTTTTTTTTTTTCCTAAGCACTTTTAAGCTCTATTATTATTAGCATATTGTTCATCATCTTCTTGCTTTCTGCAGTTCACGTTGCTTGTATTGTGACGGCTTGGAAGGCAGTCCATCATCCCCCGGAGGAGGGAAAGCCACCTTTTGTAGTTTAGATGCACATTGCAAGTCTGCTGTTTTACTGGCAGTTGTACCAGCCTGTAACTTTGACATTGACCTTGGTTGTAGTTTCTTTGTTTCCCGCGGATTCATGCTGTGTTTTCCTTATTAAATGTTATCACTTTCTCCCTCTGTCTCACAGAAAAATGGGAGATCAACCCTTCAGAGCTGACCTTTATGAGGGAACTGGGGAGCGGACTGTTTGGAGTCGTGAGGCTTGGCAAGTGGAGAGCTCAATACAAAGTTGCAATCAAAGCTATTAGGGAAGGTGCCATGTGTGAGGAAGACTTTATAGAAGAAGCTAAAGTGATGATGTAAGTTACTCTGTTCTTTCCCATTGCTCTTTTAGCCTGGCTCCAGCTAATAGCCCTGCTGGTTTCTTTTCCTATAGTAACCATATGTATGCATGACTTCCCTCCCAGGAAGCTCACACACCCGAAGCTGGTACAGCTTTATGGCGTATGCACCCAGCAGAAACCAATTTACATTGTTACGGAGTTCATGGAAAGGGGCTGTCTTCTGAATTTCCTCCGGCAGAGACAAGGTCATTTTAGTAGAGATATGCTGCTGAGCATGTGTCAAGATGTGTGTGAAGGGATGGAGTACCTGGAGAGAAACAGCTTCATCCACAGAGATCTGGTAATCAGAAACCACCTGTGTTCCCATTCGGTGGCCCAGTTCCTTTGTGACACTGGGGCAGCACATGAGCAATGATGTATTAATACCCACTTTCTGTTCTCAACAGTGTCCCATCATTATCTTTAAACTTGGTCAGTTTCACTTGCCTCATAATTTTAACAGAAAGATCTTTACTAAATCTAATACATCTAATACATAATTACATAGACAATTGTGTAAATAATATGTAATTACATAGGTAATTATTTCTAAGCAACTTACCATGTATTAAGTACTTGAGCCCCGTTAAGAATCTCAGGTGACAGCTAGTCTTTCTGATCGTCATTGATTCGTAAGAAAATTAGCTTGAGAGACAGGAAATGACTTGCATAAGGTGATAACGTGGGGAAGTTAAGGGCTGACTGTCACTAAATCCCCAGCTCTTTCCCACTGCATACACTGTAAGCTAGAACAGAAGCTACAACAGAAACCCTTGGCTTATTTTCCTTATTTCTCAAATCACTGGGAAAAGATGGAAGCCCATGTTAACTCCTCAAAATACTAGAAAAAGGAATCTATTACTGGTTCTAAATTATTGTGATGGAGATACTTCTTAATTTCTCCTCTCTCTCTCTCTCTCTCTCCCTACCTCCTCCATTTTTTCTTTTGTTTTTTCTTGTCTGCCTATTCTTCTCAGATGTATCTATTTTCAGCTTGTTGATGGATCTATCAGTTCCTGTTAAACCTTAAAGGTGATTCTTTCATCAAAAAGAATGTGATTTTCCACCTGGGACTTTTTTTTCCATATTTTAGTTGTTGTTGTTTTTAAGTAGTGCTGGCTTCATGCCCAGCACAGAGCCCAATGTGGGGTTTGAACTCAATACCCTGAGATCAGGACTTGAACTGAGATCAGGAGTTGGAAACTTAACCAACTGAGCCAGTCAAGGGCCCCTTCACATTTTAGTTTTAACTTTTTTGTCATAAAGCATGGATGCATTTCTTCCAGAGTAACAGTAAAGCGTTTACAAAAATTTAACAATCACCTTAAACAGGCATTGCTTTAATAGGTATTTAACACATGTTGACTCATTTAATCATTGTAACAACTCTAAGAAGTAGGTACTATTATTATTCTCACTTTACAGATGAGGAAACTGAGGCGCAAATAGGATAAAATAACTTACCAATGATCAAGGAAACTGTGGAGTTGGGATTTGAACCCGGGGAGTTTGGCTCTGGAGTCCATACTGTGGCCACTGTGCAATGCCATCTGTAGTCTTAGGTTATAATAAAGAGCTGAAGATTTGTATATGGAAGACTTAGATTCTGTTTCTACATCTGTAAATTGTGGGTGGGTTAGAATACTGGTTTGCTCACAAGACTGCTTCTACCCCAACCCCAGCTTTACTGAAGTATAATTGACAAAATTGTATAAATTTAAAGTATAGAGCATAATGACTTGATATGTGTACACATTGTGAAATGATTATCACAGTCAAGTTAATTATATCCATATCTCACATGTGGTTAAGAATGCTTAATATTTATTCTTTTAGTAAATTGCGATTAAATAATACAGTGTTATTAATTATAGTTATTGTGCTATACATGAGATCCTCAGAACATGAGTTTCACATTTTTTCTTAAGATTCCTTATATAAATAATGTCATACAGTATTTGTCTTTCTGTCTGGCTCATTTCACTTCGGATAATGCCCTCTATGTTCATCTCTGTTGCCACAATAACAAGATCTTTTTTTATGGCATATTCCTCTGTGTGTGTGTGTGTATGTGTGTGCATACACCCCACATCAACTTTATTCACTCGCCATTGATGAACAGTTAGATTGTTTCATATCTTAGCTATTGTAATGCTCCTGTGCATATGGAGGTACAGACATCTCTTTGAAGTACTGATTTCATTTCCTTTTGTATATATTTAGAAATGGAATTCCTGGATCATATGGTAGTTCTACTTATAATTTTTTGAGTAGACTCCAATACTGTTTTCCATAATGGCCGTACCAATTTACATTCCCACGAATCATATACAGGGGTTCCACTTTCTCCTCTGTTTCCTCCTTGCCAACTTTTGTTATCTCTCGTGTTTTTGATACTAGCCATCCTGATAGATGTGGAATGATATCTTACTGTGCTTTTGATTTGCATTTCCCTGATGATTGATGATGTTGAGCCCCCTTTCATATACCTGTTGGCCGTTTGTATGGGTTTTTTTTTTTTTTGAAAAAAATGTGTATTCAGGTTCTTTGCCCCTTTAAAAAATTGGATTATTTCCTTTTATTTGGTACTGAGTTGTATGATTTCTTTATATATTTTATATAAACCTCTATTGGTTATATGGTTTTGCAAATACTTTCTCCCAGTCTGTAGTTTTCCTTTCTATTTTGTTGACTATTTCCCTTGCTATGCAAAGGTTTTTAGTTTGATGTAGCCTAGTTATTTATTTCTGCTTTTGTTGCTTGTGCTTTTGGTGCCATATCCAAACATTCATTGCCAAGATCATGTCAAGGGGCTTTCCCCTGTTTTCTTCTAGACCTGGATTCAGGACTTACATTTAAGTCTTTAATCTATTTCAGGTCAGTTTTTGTGTATGGTGTAAGATAGAGGTCCAATTTCATTATTTTGCATATAGATACCCAATTTTGCCAGCACCATTTATTAAAGAGACTGTGTTTTCCCCACTGTGTGTTCTTGGCCCCTTTGCCAAAGATTAGTTGACCATATATGTATGGATTTATTTCTGGACTCGATATCCTTTTCCGTTGGTCTATATATTTGTTTTTGTGCTAGTATCATACTGTTTTGATTACTATAGCTTTGTAATATAGCTTTAAATCAGAACATGTGGTGCCTCTAGTTTTGTTCTTCTTTCTCAAGGGTGTTTTGGCTACTTTATGTCTTTTGTAGTTACATATGAATTTTAGGATTGTTTTTCTATTTCTGTGAATTGTACCAATGGAATTTTGAAAGGGATTACATCAAATGTAGATTGCTTTGGGTAGTATGGACTTTTAAACAATATTAATTCTTGCAACCCATGGACGGGGGTAGCATTCCATTTGTTTGTATTTTTTTTTTTCATCAAAAGTTTATGAGTTTTTGGATTTTTGCCTTTTTGGTTAAATTTATTTATTTATTCCTAACTATGTTATTGTATTTGGTGTTATTATAAATGCATTTGTTTTCTTAATTTCTTTCAGATGTTTCATTGTTAGTGTATAGAAATGCAACTGATTTTTGTGTATTGATTTTGTATGATACAACTTTATTGAAATTATTTATTAGTGCTAATATGTTTTTGTTTTTTTTAGAATTTTCTACATATAAGATCATGTCAACCGCAAACAAAGACAATTTTAATTTTGCTTTCCAATTTGAATGCCTTTTCTTTTTCTTGCTTAATTACCCTGGCTAGGTCTTTTAGTACTATGTTGAATAGATGTGGTGAGTGGACATCATTGTCTGTTCCTGATTGTAGAGGAAAAGCTTTTAGCTTTTCATTGTTGAGTATGATATTAGCTGTGGGTTGGTCATATATGACCTTTATTATGTTGAGGTATATTCCTTTTATACTAACTTGTTGAGAGTTTTTATCATAAAACTCTTTATGATAAATGGATATTAACTTTTGACAAATGCTTTTTCTGCATCTGTTGAGATAGTCATAGGATTTTTTTTTTTAATTTTTTTTTCAACGTTTATTTATTTTTGGGACAGAGAGAGACAGAGCATGAACGGGGGAGGGGCAGAGAGAGAGGGAGACACAGAATCGGAAACAGGCTCCAGGCTCTGAGCCATCAGCCCAGAGCCTGACGCGGGGCTCGAACTCACGGACCGCGAGATCGTGACCTGGCTGAAGTCGGACGCTTAACCGACTGCGCCACCCAGGCGCCCCGATAGTCATATGATTTTTATCCTTCATTCTGATAATGTGATATATACGTATACATATACCACATTTATTGATTTGCATATGTTGAACCATCCCTGCATCCTGGGGATGAATCCCTTTTGATCGTGGCGTATGATCCTTTTAATGTATTGTTGAGTTCTGTTTGCTAATATTTTGTTGATGATCTTTTAAATATCTGTGTTCATCAGAGATATTGACCTATAATTTTCTCTTCTTATAGTGTCCTTGTCTGGCTCTGGTGTCAGGGAAATGCTTACGTCATAAAATGAGTTTGGAAGTATTCTCTCCTCTTCAGTATTTTGGAAGAGTTTGAGAAGGATATGTGTTAGTTTTTCTTCACATGTTTTGTAAAATTCGGGGCGCCTGGGTGGCTCAGTCGGCTGAGCGTCCAACTTCAGCTCAGGTCATGATCTCGCGGTCTGTGAGTTCGAGCCCCACGTGCTGACAGCTCAGAGCCTGGAGCCTGCTTCCAATTCTGTGTCTCCCTCTCTCTCTCTGCCCCTCTCCCGCTCATGCTCTGTCTCTCTCTGTCTCTCAAAAAGAAATAAACATTAAAAAAAATGTTTTGTAAAATTCACCAGTGAAGCCTTCTGGTCCTGGGCTTTTCTTTTACAAGACTGTTTTCAAGATTACAACATATGATTGGGGCAAAGGACTCCGTAAAATAGAAGATGTGATATGTATATATAGATATAGATATAGATGTTATATATATCTATATATATAAAACATTCCTTGTTCGGGGCGCCTGGGTGGCTCAGTCAGTTAAGCGTCCGACTTCAGCTCAGGTCACGATCTTGCAATCTCGCGGTCTGTGAGTTCGAGCCCCGCGTCGGGCTCTGGGCTGATGGCTCAGAGCCTGGAGCCTGCTTCCGATTCTGTGTCTCCCTCTCTCTCTGCTCCTCCCCCGTTCATGCTCTGTCTCTCTCTGTCTCAAAAATAAATAAACGTTAAAAAAAAATTAAAAAAAAAACATTCCTTGTTCTTATTATGCTTAGCAATGATAAAGAACTTCTCTTTGTCATATTGAAAGTTGTGAATTAAGCACCTTCCTCTTTTTTTGTACTTTCAAAACTGATGAAAATTGAATGCCTACAGGAGTATGGCAGACTACATCTGTCCACACAGGCCATATCTTGGTGAAAGCAATTTTGATAATTTTGTGCTTATGATATTGACATCACTGTGGTAGTTTTGTGTCACCCCTGAAGGGAAGATTCTGATGCTCCTGTCTTTTGAGCAAAGAATGCTGTTGACCATGAAGTGAAGGCATTAGAAGGCATCTCCGTAGGAAAAGGGGGAAATCTGGGGAACTTTAGAAGAGACTCTTAAAATGCATTCAGCAGGAATAATTTCATATAAGTGGCTGCCACATACAGAGAATAAAATGCTAGAAGTATCAGGAATAAAAATGCACCTGGGCGCACCTGGGTGGCTCAATCAGTTAAGCATTGGACTTTGGCTCAGGTCATGATTTCATGGTTTGCTCACCATCAGGTAAGCTCAAGCCCCACATAGGTGAGCTTGAGCCCCGCGTCTCTCTCTCTCCCTATCTCTGTCTCTGCTCTCATGGGATTCTGTCTCTCTCCCTCTCTCTCTGCCCCTCGCTCACTTGTCCCCTTTCTCTCAAAAAAGAAAATGCATCTTAGCCCACAGGTTATGGCATTAAAAATATTGTTACCATGTTTTCCTTCGGAGAAGTACTATCTTTTTACAAAACTGTTTTCTTGAAATTTAAAGAATGGGCAAGAGAATACAAATTAAATAATCCAGAATTGTTTTTGACCAATTTCATGTATCATACTACAATATACTGGAAACATTATGAATGACAAGGCAAACTATGTTGCACATGGCTGGGGTTTTTTTTTTTTTTTTTTTTTTTTTTTTTTTTTTTTTTTTTTTGACTGAGAACAGGACAACCAGTCATTGAGCAAAACTATTGGGTAAAAGGTTAATTACCTATCAGTTACCTTTGTTGTTTGTCATTAAACTCACCTAGTGAGAACCTAGATTAAGGACTTCGAGAGATGTCATTATCAGGGCACCTGGGTGGCTCAGTCGGTTAGGTGTCTGACTCTTAGTTTCGGCTCAGGTCATGATCTCACAGTTCATGAGATGGAGCCCCGCCTAGGGTGCTGACAGTGCAGAGCCTGCTTGAGTTTCTCGCTCTCTGTCCCTCCCCCATTCATGTGCATGTGCACGCTTGCGCTCTCTCAATGTCTCTCTCTCTCTCTCTCTCTCAAAATAAATAAACTTAAAAAAAGAGAGATGTTATCAGTAAGAAAATCTCACAGTTTAATAAAAATAGGAATGGGAGGGGGGGAAGTAGGTTGATCTGGTTAGTCCTCATTTGGGTCTGACAATTGGTGACGTCATGTAATAATGCCCTATTGCACATACGACCTGCTGACCTGTCTTTCTACCCATTTTTTCAAGTATATGTTGGAGACAATTCCACGGGGATAAAAACAATTTATAAAGAGACATTTCCACCTTCTGTAAATGTTGACTGGGCTATATTAAGTTTAATATAAACAGAAGTTATATTTTTTTACTTTGTAGAACTTTGTAACTATTATACCATTGAAATGTTATTTTCCAGGCTGCCAGAAATTGTCTAGTAAATGAGGCGGGAGTTGTGAAAGTATCTGATTTTGGAATGGCCAGGTAAGGCTGAGTCTATGTGAACGTTTCCTATCAGTTTTGGATTAAATTAATATGAGACGGTGACCTTTGAAGGTACAGAAAGCCTGGCTTTTTCTTTGCAGTTTGACTGTGTCAGCTTCTTTCTCCGAGGCCTATTTAAGAGCTGTTTTTAAACCACATCTTTTGTTCGATTAGCAAAATATCTGTAGTACTCATCATTTTCATAGGCAGACTAATTGTTTTTTCTGCTTTTTAGTGCGTTTTGATACAAGGAAATAAAATAAATTAGATTATCTGTATTTTGAAAAATTTCTTTGCTGAATGTATCCATTTTACTGCTACCTTGGGCTTTTTCTCAGGTTAACAAATTGTTGAGAAATTATGACTTCTTCATGCTTTATTATGTGGCTTCAGGTGATAGTCACATTAGCTTGTAGAATTAATAAGCATGGGAATAATCTGCACTGACGAAGGAGAAAGGAAATCTTGTTCACTGTTCTGTGATAAATGAATTCATTAAAAAAGTGTACATTGCAATGTTAATAATTCTCTCCACTAGGTGGTAGTATAGCATGTTAAATATGTTACTTTCATTTTTTCCTTGGTTTGGGTTAGATTTCTAGAATCTTTTGTTTTCATAGAAAATGTATTTGGGGGTAAAGTTCTTAGAATACCCAAATCTGTTGTGTTTTTATTCTCATAATTTTTGTAATTTTAATGGTGTGTTAGAAAAGACCTTGAAAACATACTGTTTGTCCTTTTCCTCCTCTCTGTCCATTCACTCATCCGTACATCCATCCGTAAAGAAATTAGGTGCCTACTGTGTACCAGGGTGTTAGGCTGAACCAGAGCAGAGTATAAGGCATATGGGTCCTTGCCCGCATGCGGCTTATATTCAGGAGGAGAGAGAGACATAGACCTGAGACAATCATGAAGAAGGGAAAACACAGTGGTGTGACAGAGCAGGGATCAGCACACCATGGCCTCTGGCCCAGATGTGACCCAACACCTCTTTATTCAGCTTGTGAGCCAACAGTGGTTTTCCAACTTTTAAATGATTGGCAAAACTTAAAAGAAGTTCGTGACACGTGAAAATTATCTGAAATTCAAATGTCAGTGTGCGTAAATACTTATGTGTTGTCTGTGGCTGCTTTCACACTACAAAGGCAGAGTTGGATAGTGGTGGCAGAGGCTGTATCACCTGAAAAATCTGAAATATTTATCACGTGACCCATTACAGAAGAAGTTTGCTCATCCCTAAGATAGAGGTCACTTGGGGCGGCTAGTGGGGGGAGTGATGGTGTGGGGCGGGGTCATAGTAGCTGTGGTGCTTTGGAAGACAGACCTCTTTGTGTTTTTTTCTTTTTGTTTTTTGTTTGTTTTCTTCTCACATTTGTATTTCCATTCTGGTTAACATACAGCACAATATTGGTTTCAGGAACAGAATTCAGTGATTCATCATTTACATACAATACCCAGCGCTCATCACAAGTATCCTCCTTAATCCCCATCACGTATCTAGCCCATCTCCCACCCACCTCCCTCTATCAACCCTGTTTGTTCTCTGTCATTAAGAGTGTCTTATGGTTTGTTTCCCTGTCTCCACCTCCCCCATATGTTCATCCGTTTTGTTTCTTAAGCCATATGAGTGAGATCATATGGTATTTGTCTTTTTCTGACCGACTTACTTTGCTTAGCATAATATACTCCAGCTCCATCCACATCATTGCAAATGGCAAGATTTCATTCTTTTTGATGCCCGAGTAATGTTCCATTGTATATATGTACCACGTCTTCTTTATCCATTTATCAGTCAATGGACGCTTGGGCTGTCTCCTTAGTTGGGCTATTGTTGATAGTTCTGCTATGCTGGGGTGCACGTACCCCTTTGAATCTGTATTTTTGTATCCTTTACTAAATACCTAGCAGTGCAACTGCTGGATCATAGGGTAGTTCTGTTTTCAGTTTTTTGAGGAACCTCCACCCTGTTTCCCAGAGCAGCTACACCAGTTTGCATTGCCACCAACAGTGCAAGAGGGTTGCCCCTTCTCTGCATCCTCGCCAACACCTGTTGTTTCTCGTGTTGTTGTTTCTTGTGTTGTTGATTTCAGCCATTCTGATGTGAGGTGTGAGGTTGTATCTCAGTGTGGTTTTGATTTGCATTTCCCTGATGATGAGCGATGTTGAGCATCTTTTCATGTGTCTGTTAGCCATCTGAATGTCTTCTTTGGAAAATGCCTACTCATGTCGCAAGACCTCTTTGAGACCAGGATATTTGAACTGAGACCAAACAGGCAGAAATATCCAATTAGGTGGAAATCTGAGGATAAAATATTCCAGGTGGAAGAAACAGCAAATAATAAAAGCTTGAAATCTGGGACAAGCTTGGCCTGCTGAAGGAATCAAAACAGGGCCAGGGTGGTTAGCCCAGAGCCAGCACAAGGAACAGGTATAAAGCCACAGAAGGAACAGGTCATACAGGCCATGTTTAGTTCCTAATGAGAACAGGACTGCTGCCTGCCAGGGCAGTACTTACCCCTGCTCTTTATATGCTTTTTATGAAGATTTTCTCTGAGGGGCAGTCCTCCAGTTTCACATGCTTGATTTTCACAGGTTTGGCTTTCAGAAAATGTGTGCTTTCGCATCAGCCCCTCTAAAATCCTCATTAAACACTGAATTCAGACTCCCCTGATTGACAATTTGATCCAGCCCATGGTGGCATTACCATCTTTGTCCATGCAGCAAAAGAATTTTGTGCAATTATGTGAATGTTTTCTCATGGAGCTTTTAGAAATGAACTTGATATGTTCATGTGATACATAAATGCATTCCTTGTGTAAATACATACAGAACACATAACAGAAAGGGCTGAAGTCCCCATATTCACCGCCCCGATCAAAGGTCCTCCCCCCAGGTAGCCAGAGTTACCAGTTTGTGTGTGTCTATCCAGAAGAACATAAGTAAGCTTGCATAGCAAAAATTACATAGTATTGTTTTGAGTGTGTAATTGTGTGTGTGTGGGGGGGGACAGATGTCATGGCATATAAATATATACTCCACCATTTACATATGTCATTTTGCAATTTGCTGTTTTCATTTGCTGGAGGTTTAAATTGCACTCTGTGGAATTGTGGGGGCTAAAAGCACATGTGTCTCCAAATGCTCTGCACCACTTCCTTTAGAGCAGCTCTGCTTTAGATGTTTTACATGTGGGCCCTTCGGGTTAAATATTGTTTAAAGAACAAAGTTGCTAACCCCCCAAAAAAGTTTGCTAACTCTTTTATTGTGTTCTGCCTCTATTATAAAAAACAAACACAACACAGAAACACAAACGGGCAGGTACTAATGTTACAACGTGCCCATCTCAAGCACATAAATGAAGCTCAGAGGAAGATGGAAATCACCAGGCGTGGCCACTGAGGCAAACATTTAGCTTCAACCGGATGCTTGTTGGACTTCAGTCAACTGTGTTTTTGATTCTAAGAGGAAAGAAAAAAAAAATTGAAGAGCATGTACAAAATGTAGATCATAGCTCAGAGGCGTAAACCTATGGCGTGTCTTACTTTAGGTATGTTTTGGATGATCAGTACACAAGTTCTTCTGGTGCAAAATTTCCAGTGAAGTGGTGTCCACCGGAGGTGTTTAATTACAGCCGCTTTAGCAGCAAATCAGACGTCTGGTCATTTGGTAAGAACATGGTCTGTTTTTCCTCGGCTCTGCTCTGAAGAGGAAGTGGGCGCATCCGTGGGTGATCCTTCTCTTTCTTTTTCCAGGTGTTTTAATGTGGGAAATATTCACCGAAGGCAGAATGCCGTTTGAGAAAAACACCAACTATGAAGTGGTAACCATGGTTACCCGTGGCCACCGACTCTATAGGCCGAAGTTGGCATCCAAATACGTGTACGAGATGATGCTAAGGTGTTGGCAGGAGGTAATGATTTTTTGTGTGCTTTCTTCCTGAATCCTGAAAACATGTAGGGATCTGGGCTTGGTAGATTAGTAACATATAGTCTTCACAGCCTAGTGAGTCAGTGCACGTTTTGTATGATTCCAAACTCTAGGTGGAAAGCCAGCCCTCTCAAATCAGGTCTGAGTAACGGGAAGAAGAATGTGAAGACATGGAAGATGAAAATAAGATAATAAATGCAGGCTGCTACCCCACTCCCAAGTAGAAATCCTGTCCCAGTTGCCTGAGTTAGGGACTCAGGGAATAATCCTGGAGAAGTAGCTCTTCTTTCCGCGGACTTCTTGTACTGTTGAACTATTACTCTTTCACAAGAGCGGGTTTCTTTCTCCAAACCTCGACTTCCCCAGATCTCTTTACTCATAGTCTTTGGAAGTGTTCCTTCCCCATGTATTAAAATGTCACCTCATAGAAGAGATTAGGCACTAAAATGACTTTTGAAAGATAATATTAACTCACATATATTGTGTGCTAGGCACGGTACCAAATGTTTTAGATTTAGTTCTCAAAATAACCTTTTGAGGTACAGAGACTTTTACTGTGACCACTTTGTGGATGAGAAGACCAGGGCCCATGAAGTTGACACTTGTCCAAGGCCACTTTGCTACAGAGAGGCGGAGCCTATGCTCGTGGTCACTTACTATGATGCCTCCAAAGAGCACTGATTGGCATGGGAGTGGCCTGGGCAGGAAGGGCTGCTGGGGGTAGGAGAGGACAGCATGAGCAAAGGTAAGGTGGTGGTAATGAGTGTGGTGTGTGTACCTGAGGATAGAGATTGGTCTGATAGAGTAGAAAGCCCATGTGAGAGTTTTTGTGGGAAATGAAACTGGGTAGCAAGAGGGTGGGGGAGGGGAAGGGTATAGAGGGCACTGCAAATTAGCAGGACTTGATTTTGCAGGCAATAAAGAGCTCTCTTAGCTTCTTGAGTGGAAACACAAAAGCAGTGTAGGAGAAAGGTTTGTCTAGCAATAGTATATGTAGACTAGAGAAGTCCCATTTGGAGATGCCTGCATGTTCTAGTACCAGACGATCAGTATCTTGCAGTTATGTGAGTTTGAGCAGTGAGAAATTAGTTTTGGAATGGATTCTGGAACCCACAGCTTCTCTTTGATTTTTCATTGTAGAAACCGGAGGGAAGGCCTTCCTTTGAAGATTTGCTGCGCACGATAGATGAACTAGTCGAATGTGAAGAAACTTTTGGAAGATAAGTGATGGTGTGATCTGTGACTTCCAGATTCCAAAGCATGAGGAAGAAATGGCACTTTGTGGCTAACTTTTAATTTATTTAGCACTCGGATGTGTAGATTGTTTTACTTATAAAGTGGAAACACCTAAAGCATTTGCTTCTAGACCAGCCTGAGCTCTGGCACTGAACCTTTCAGATTATGGAAATGCTGCCTTAGAGATGGTGATGGAAAGCACTCACTTTTATCCATTCCACAGGTACTTGAGTGCCTACCACGTGCGAGGTACCATGCCCAGACCCCAAGGTTTGCCCTTTTTAGGGGTGTACATGGGGCCATGTTAGCTGGTGCCAGTGAAGGTCAGGATATCTGGGAAGAGATAGGGAAATAGAGCCTTGTTCCAGCAACCCTTCTCTTTCCTTTGACGTCTATGGAAATCTGGGCCTGAGGCATTGTCTGGAATGTGGGTTCTGGAAGAATCAGGAACCCATCTTGGATAAGTACCCTTCTTTTGTTTTGAAAACCTCTGTTTTCAAGACTGCGATTAGTATTACATTAAAAATATTTGTATGCTGTATATATTGTAAATATATAATATATAAAGATATATATTTATAAGAAACATGAGTTGTCTTTTAATTAGCACGTTCAATTCTGTAACACATGAGCTTTCCTTTTTAGGACTAGGGACTGTGCCTTGCAGCTGTCAATTTCTTTTCCCCCAGGGATCAAATATTCCTTGTCGAAGAGAAAAAAGTCTGGACCCTTCTGCCATTAATATTCCCTCTCCATTTAGGCAGACATGTTTGGGGGTACCTGTCTAATTTAAGCCCCTAACCAGGCCCATGTGTGGGCTGATTGACCCTGCCCATGGTATCTATCACTAAAAGGGGTTAGGTAAAAGTTGAACTAGGGGTAATCAATCACTTTTTATGGCTTAAGAATCTGCCCCAGGACATAGATGCTGTAAGTGGAGGTGCTGGGCTCTGGGGGAGAATGATGAGAATGTGATGTTCACAACAAAGCCTGCCCCCACTGCAAGCAAGACCCAGGAGCAAGTTCAGCTTCTGGCGGAGAAACCAGGAAAAATGGAGAGAATGGTGTATTGAGCCATCTCCCAGATGGTTTTCAGGAGACCTGGTTGGACTTGGATTCCTGGATCAGTGAGATTGTCTCAGTGAGACAATTATCTCAGTGAGATAGCCTCATGGTAGACCCTGTGATCAAGTTTGAGTGGGTTTTTGACTGTTAACAATCTCTAAGACACCAGCTGAGGTGGAAACTTCATTTTCGCTCATGAGCCAGGGAAGAGAAACAGTTTCTTATCAGTAGCAGAGGCCATGTATTGCCCCATACATTTTTCTTGGTTTTATGGGGGTAGAAAGCTGAGAAACACCCAACACACAGGGCCTTTCTTTAAGGAGTTCTGATCACTCTGGGGACTGCCATGGCGTCCCCTGTGCCACAGGTGTTGTGTGAACACAGAACTGTTGCTGGCTGTCTTGAGTAGTGCCTCCCTAAGACCCTGGGGGGCCATCTCTTTCCCTTTGGGTCTGTCCATCCACTGAGAGCTGTCCTTCCGTACCCTCCTTCTAATGGAAAAAAAATGATCTTAAGTCTTGTCACTGTCTGTTTGCCACCTTCCTCCTCATCTTCCTGTTTACCTGTACCCCCATCACAAACACATACGTACCTTTTAACTGAATTGTAGCTCATTCAAGGAGTTGACCATATTCGTTATACTCGGGTTTTGAGTATGGTTTTTCTGTCTTTCTCCTTCCTTTCTCCTTCACCTTGACCCCTCCCACCCCTCCCTGTCCCTTCCCACACTTCCCTGTTCACCTGGAGGAGCTATGTTCAAAGTGCTGGATGGTGTTGAAGAAAGTGAGGACAGAGTATAATCCTTGTGCTAATCGTTACGTATACTGTTGATGTGGAAAACAAGAGGGGTAACACCTGACAACATTTGGGAACCTTTTCTTCAACAATCTTCAAAATTTTCACCGGAACTTAAAACAAGTTTTTGTATAAAAGCATAAGTAAAGCAAAAAGTGAAGTAAAAATAGAAGAATCCACCCAGAATGCTTAACGAGGTCTTAATCTATAAAGCAGGAAATAGGAAAGGCAATGTGAATATGCTGTGCCTTCATTAGAATCGTTCCTTTTAGTTTTAATTCTTGGTTATATTTTCCAAGGGGATGAAGTAGAATTCCTAAGTGCATTTCTTATTGACATCATTTTTATATTTCTCAGCCATGGCTCGGTCACCTTTTAGGTACCTTATTGAATTGGCTTTCCATCCCCACAAAAAAATGAAGTTTCATAATATGGGCCTTGAGGTGTCAGTACTGAGTGGGAGGACAGAACATTCTAGACTTTATACTTCGATACCTAGAATCTAATTCTCTTTCTACCACTGTGTCCCTTGTCCTATCTGTGCATCCATCTCCTTCTGTGTCCAGAGAAGGCAGCTTGATTTGATGCTTTTTAAAGTCTCTTTTACAAAAATGTTGTTGACTTCTTGAAAATGTTGTTTTCTGGAATCGCCCACACAGTTGGGAATGAGGAACCCATTGCAGCTACCCTCAGAGATCTGGATGCAGATTATTGAACTTTCGTATATAGGCCATTCGGTTGTCATTCACACACTTTTCTCTGAGGTTTTTAGAACAGGAAAATAGGTGGGGTTAACTTTGCTCGTGAGAAACATCTTGGGTGAGCTATGATTTCAGTTAAAAGATGTGTTTTTGTGACCGAACCGCCGCTGAAGAACTGAATGCTGCTTTGTATACTCCCTGCAGAAGTACAACCATGATTCTTTCCACCTGTAAGTACGATGGCTTTGCAGTCATCAGCAGGGCTTGTACTGGGCGTGTTACTTATTCTAGAACTCTGGCAGACGGCATAAAGCTTGTGAAATTTGGAGGATCGTGTCCCCAGATGTTGTGATGGGGTTTTGTGCGTTATTTAAATAACCATCGTAGTGATGTAACTTCAGTAAAGGTCGCTCATTGAGACTGCAAAGGGAAACCGACTACTGGCCTTAAATCTACATGCATATGTGGAAATGCAGTTTGAAAAGTGGTTTTTTTTTTCTTTAAGTTTTTTCAATGTTTATTTATTTTTGAGACAGAGCGAGAGACAGAGAGCATGAGCAGGGGAAGGGCAAAGAGTAGAGAGGGAGATGCAGAATCTGAAGCAGGCTCCAGACTCTGAGCTGACAGCACAGCGCCCAAAGCAGGGCTCAAACCCACAAACCATGAGGTCGTGACCCGCGCCGAAGCCGGACGCTTAACTGATTGAGCCACCCAGGCGCCCCTGAAAAGTGTTTGCTTTTAGAGTGATGTGTCGTGTCAAGAACTCAGAGCTGAAGACCAGGAGACCAAGTTGTAGCGTCCGGATTTGCTGCAGCTCTGCTGGGTCATCTTTGGCAACTTCTTAGGTTGGGTCCCTGTCTGTAAAATGGTACCCTCCTTCTGCCCACCTCGCCACAAGATTTCATAAACAGCAGCTAAAAATAACAGGGCCTTTGTGATCTTAATTTTGGGGTTGCTTTGGAAGACTGTGGTGCATTTTGAAAACGCTTATGAATTTAGCTCCACAAGGGCTTTCTCATGCAAATAATTAAAAAGTAAGGAAGGCAAATACCATCTTTGATTTTCATTCGGAATGACTATAGAACCTAGTCTTAACAAAGCTCAGTCCTACCAGAGGAAAGCAATCAAAGAGCAGCTAACGAAGTTTTGACATCTCTGATTCTTAAGTGGCACTGGGAAAAGTTGATTGATTGCAGTTTTTACATGTCATCTGTTGCAACCAAATCACCTCACAGGACCCAACACCTGTGGGGAGAATTTGTAAAAAGCAAACGAGGCTATTCCAGTTGGGCTGACCCCAATATAACTTACCATCTTGATCCACTCCTAGACAAAACGGGGCTTGCTTGTTATCAGAAATGCACATGAACCGGAGCGAAGCAGAAAGAGCTGAGAGGCAACAATTTATGTCCCCGCCTCCCCCAACGGTAGGACAAAGATGAGCAGTGACTTAACCTTTTTATTAAAAGCTATGTGAGCATCTGTTGTTCATTTCTCCTGAGGTCAGAACTAGCGAAAAGGCTATAAATGATAACAGGAAAGATTTAGTGACATATAAAATAAATAATGCTGAGGGTTGAGACAGGATTAGGTGTTGGTGGTGCTATTTTGTGGATCATCCTGGCTGACCTGGAAGGGCATGGATTTGACGAACGTTCACCGTCTCTTCCAGCTTCTGGTGATTTGTTTGATGGTAAAAGTCGCCTATTTATTTCTGCCGCAAACCACGTGTAGACATGGCTCTATGTGCTTCTGGGTAAAACAGTAAGCGTTTTCTGTTGATAAGAGGAAGCCAAGAGATGCCTCCAGGTGTGTTACTGCTAATCAAAAAATATGTGTATGTGTTTGCGAGGCCAGAGGCATTTGCCAAATACATTTGTTGTCTTAAGAGCTGTCTTAGAAGTCTGGCCTGATAGGCTGCTGTAGGGCAGGAAGAAATAATTGTAGAAGGTGAGATATTGGTCATACTGAATGGTGGGGAGAGGCTGAGTGGGGTATCAGGGCACTGCTGGAGTGCAACTCATTTGGTGAAACATAACTGGGTATTGCTGAGGTTTCTACCCACAAGCAGTGGCTCCGAGGACAGACCCAGCCTAGTAAAGTCACTTAGAGGACAAAGCCCAGGGAGAAGAGCCAAGGAAGGGTTTGAAAAAGTCAACTCTTCCCTTCCCCTCCACCTCACTTTAACCTAATTTCTCTGCCTTTCTTTTCTTCCCAACTTAGACAGTAGAAGGGAAAAATATAATGACGTATATGAGTGATTCTTAAGTCTTAGTGGGCCTGAAGTATGCACGGGATACTGTTAAAATGTAGATTTCCAGACTTACCTCCATAGTTAGATCTGGGGGTGAGTTAAGGACACTTGATTACATTGCCTTTCTGGGGCTTCTATTTTTTTTTTTTTTTTTTAATTTAAAAACCAGTTTA